TAAAGTTGAACCAGAAGAGCAAGAAGAAGTTAAAAATCAAATTAAATTTGAAATTCAAAATATAGATCTCAAACAAGTGAAACATGTATATTTTGTTAGTGCTAAACATCCAAAGATGTTTGATGACTGGACAGTTATGATGAATCATCTAGATAATCCTTCGAATTGAGACTGATATGTAATTTAATGCGTTCTTTCATTTAAAATTTTCTTTGATAATAAACTGAACTTGATTTGTTTATGAGAAAAATTTTTCCTATTTTTTTTCTGCTATATAACAGAATGCTTACATTGTTACAATAAACAATAAAGAAAGCAGTAAGATAAGACCTGTTCTAATGGAAGTAAACAATAAAACAATCTGTTTGATATTGCATTAACGAATCCATGAAAAAAATAAAAAGCGAATATTTTTTTATACATTGACAACAATCTTAGTTGAAAATAAAGATTCTGTCGAGTACAGTGAACATATCAAGTTCTATGATAACATATTCAAAGGCTTGCGGTCAATTCGTTTCATATCAAAAATAACTGAGGTATCAGAATCTAATCGATTTAAATAAGACAGTTTTCATTCGATTAAGTTTGTATTTTAGTATAAAAGAATATTTTTCTGAAAATGAAATTATATTATAATGTAGGGTTTCTTGAGAGTTTTATAAAAGCTCTTTACTAGAAAACCATCAAAGTTTTCTCGAAAACTCTTATCTGAATGAAATCAATAGAGCATCACATGTTGGTGTTAATACTATATCGGTGACTTGAATATAATTCTCTTTCATAGTGGTATCAGTTATCTGAGTATAGAAAAAAACAACGATTTGCATTGAATTCAATCGAACTATTGTAATCACACATTTTTGGTTTTTTCAATTTTGCACTTTTCGATATTTTATGATTTAAAAACAAAATTAATCTGTGTGCTATCGATATAATATAGAGATTTTTACTTGGATAATTGAAAATAAAACTTTCAAAAATATTGGATAAAGTATCCATCCCAATTGCTTAAATTATTCTCAGTCTATTTCCCAGTGAAGTTTTCGAATACTCGGATTTTAGAAATGCAAACATACAAAAATATGCAATCATCGATAGAGCAATTTATCGAGCTGTTACAACAGTTGAAACCAATAACAATTAAGAATTGAAACAAGAAAAAATCTATAGAAATAAAAATGCATTAATATTCTTGTTTATTTTAGATGAAATAGAAAAAAAACAACATATGTATTATAGATATTGATGAAGATAATAAAAATGAAATCAAATTACTAACAATATGACTATGAAATAGAACAGCAATAAAGAAGAAAAATGAGAGAAAAGTCTTAGGATCTAAACAAAATCAATGTTCATAACTATTTTGAAGTTGATTTTCATTATCAACTATCGTCATCAGTATCCGAATTCAAACCTGATGATGAATCTGAGTTTGAATCCGAACTCGATGATGTATCTGAATCTGTATCTGTAGTAATAGAATTATCATCTAAATGGAAGAAACAATTCATATGGATACGTTTGATGAAATTGTTTTTCAAAATATATCTTACAATCAACACATTCATTAGTTAAATAATCGACCATTTCTAGCCAACTTGGAAACATTCGAGGATATTTAGCACTTATAAAAAACACATTTTTCTTTCGTTTCAGTCCGAATGATTCAATTTCACGTTGAATCTGACATTGAAATTTTGATTGTTCATCTTCATCAATCTCATCAAATTTATTCACAATAATATCATAACCTAATTCAAGATCATCGAATAAACGAATCAAATTCAAATTTTCTTTTATTGTATATTGAATAAGAATAAGACGTCGTGTCAATCCTTTGATAAAAGAAATATATTTCTCATTGGAATATGTTAATTCATCATTACGACCAGGTGTATCCCAAAGTGTATATCCTGTACCATGATATGATGTTATTTCTTTTGTTGTTTCACCGACACCTGTTTCAGCGACATTTTTTCCAAGAAGACTATTTACTATAGTTGATTTACCAGTTGATGTTAATCCAAATATTCCAATATTATTGCCTTGTCTTTTAATTGTTTTAGTTTTATGAGCCAATTTAGAAAGAGCTTTCTGTCGTCGTTTCTCATATTTTGCTACATCATCAAATGATTTCATGTTTTTTCTTCTTGCTTTCTTCTCGTATTTTTCCAAATCTCGACGTTTATTCTCAATTTCTTCACGCATCTCATTTATTTGAGTACGCAAAGATGTCGTAATAGTACTTTGTTGAGGACCTAAATAATAAGTAATCAATACATAAAAGTTTGCATTCTTTAAATTCTTACAGAAATTTTTCCACTTCTTACATATATGTCAAGAAATTTTTATTTTTTCATTCTTAAGATTAATATTTGCACACTTACATCCATCTTCAGAAGTCAAATATGTTCTAAATTGTAACCACAAAGAATTCAAGAAGTTATTTAAATTTTAGCTATTGGTTAAATTAGCATGATGAAATTGATTTTGTTGTAGTTTTATAATTACTTGGTATAGTAGGTGTCTTATTTTACTTGAAAAAAAAAACTTAGAGAGTTTCATTATACATCTTATCCTTGAGAAATTAATTGAAATGATTTAGATTAATAGAAAATCAATTTCAAAGAAACTTCAACTTATTTTCTTTAAACTATACGATAATTTTTTTTTTCTTTGAAAAATATACTACAGACATTCTCTAGTAAATGATTGTCAAGTATGAACACGAAAAATGATTTATTAATCAAGACTATAATAGATATAGATTGTCAAAACAAAGATCTCGACACAAGAGAAATATTTCTTTTTTTTTAGTTCTGAATGAATTATTTATTTTACTTATTCGAAGTTAAAAAACGCGCGATAACTTACTTGGCGATCGCCGGTTTCCTCTGAACGCTGCATCAATAGCCAAAGCTACGGCTCCAACAATAGGTAGAAACATGTTTCAACCAAATTTTGAAGTGCAAATCAACGTTTATAGATGAAATCTATTTCTAAAATGATACGTAATTTATATGTTAAGCAATTGTTTTTTGGAAAATTTTCTATTAAAATATGCAAATAGATTATTTCCAACCAATTAACCATTTCTTTCCTGATCGTACTAGAGAAAAAAATTTAAACATCTTTTTTCTTTTTCTTTCATTGTGTAATTGACTCATAGGGTTTTTTTTTGTATACCAGATGATTTATCCTTGGATATTTACAGAAGAAAAGAATATATTACATCGTCTTCTACTCTTTATGGATTAATCATCAATAGATGTCATGCCAACAGTGACAAACAACTACATCTCAAAAAACGAAATAAAAAAAATCGAACGTAAATATTATGAATAAATATCTATTGTAAGTGAAGCAGCGTAGAAAAACAAAAAGGTAAAAATACGCACTGATAACTAATAATAGAAATTTCACAAAATTAAAGAAAGTAATAGTCATAAAGCTACATATGAATAGTTTATCGTGATCGTGAATAAAAATGATCACAACAATTAACAATTTTGCCTTTTCTTCATGTAAATCTCAGCTTTTATAACAGATCCTTCATACACTATGCATATATGAGTCATTCAATTACAAATATTTTCGAACATAATATTCGATAATGGAAAATACCAACGTCTTTATATGGTTATATTCTAACATAGCTATATAGAAGTCATTACTCATGATAATGGAAAAGAATGAAAAACCTTATTTTGTTGTTTTTATTTATTCCCTGGGATTTTATAGACATTAGATGAAGAGGAAAAAAAAGAAGAAAAAACCAAACGATGACATGCAGCAATATGACGTAAGGCAAGTGAAAGATATCGCGTTTGGAAAAATCCAATCTCTGTTGCTTTTCGATTAAATTTCTTACCAAGTTTACATATATATATAAACCTTCATAGTATTAATTTGTTATTATAGTCGATTGATTTACATAATTCAAACCCAAAAATGGCCACTGTTAATATAATGATATCGTTACCTATTGAAGTTATTGAACTTTTACTGAATACGGTGAATATGTTTCTAGGTAAGTCATTGAACTTTTCTGATAATTTGATTTTGAAATAGATCCTATGAAATGTACATAGCTTATAAACAATCATCTATTGATTCAAATGAAACCTGGATCGGAGTAATAGTCTAGTAAACAACATTTTCAAACTTTTTATTTTGGAATTGATCAAGACAGAGATGAAATCAGTATGGATTTTTCATGGCCGATATCGATACCGGTTTCATCTCTGGATAAAGATAGAAATTAACTCATCAATATTTTATTTTCATTTATTTTTTCTTTTCAAGATGGTTAGATATTTTAGAAACAGTAAAATAAACAGACTGACATTAGAGAATATTTTTGATAAAATGATGTATTTTCCGAGAAAAACAATGTCGAATTATTGAACATAACCTTTTTTTTTTGTTAATGATTTTCAGATGTTATTCAGCTTCCGTTTCGACGTTGATAGACAAGATATTTATTGATTTATCTCAATTTATTGAATTTTCTTACTCATAAACTCACTGATCTGAAAATTTTCATTTAAAATCGAAGTTTCATCTGAAATTGCATGAAAATCAAAGTAAAACGATAATGATTTAGAGAAAAAAAAACAGAATTTATGTAAGATTAACTATCCAAGATTTATATAATTTTCATGAGACCATATTCAGAAGGTATATTGAATCAAAATTAGGTTTCAAGTTTTTTTTAATAGTTCTATAGCCGTTATTTGCATGTTTGATGAACAATTTATTATCAATTTTTCACATACAAAATTTAAAGAACTCTAAATCTAGGAATAAATTTCAAAATTTCTATTATTACTATATCATTTGCCATAGTAACAACTGCTTAGATTCAAATTTCTAAGCTTAGTGTTATTCCCATAATGTCTCTGCGAAAACAAAAAAAGTGGCTAAACCGCAAATCTATATGATGCTACTTTGATTATTTTTTTTTGTTGTTCATGAAGACAAAATGCTTGTCTATGACCGATTATTCATTATAGGTCATGGTAATGTATTCGATGGAAATGAGTTTGTTCATCAACAATCATCTCAACAGGCTAGAGACAATACGGCATCACATACACAGATGTCTCAACCTCAAAATATTCCAAGACCAACCAAGGAATCAGTATCACCAAATCATCAATCCTATCAAGACACAAAAGAATCAACCCAAGATTCAGAATCTCTATTCCATCAGCAACTACCCCAAAGTACTCCAACGCCTAGATCAACATCTCAAGAACCTCAAGCAATAGATGAAAATGCTGCATTATATGCAGAAATATATAAATATCGTGAACAAAATGCAGAATTGATCCAACGTTTTCAACAATTAAATGAAGAATTGAAAAGAAAAAAAATCGATTCATTCGAAGCATTGACTGAACAAGACAAAGAAATGAAGAAAATTTTGATCGAATTGGCTAATATTACTCAACCAATGCCAATGGAAGGTAATAATATCGGTTTATTTGGTTTGACTTCAACAGGCAAATCAACAATACTAAATGCTATTCTTGGTCAGAAGCTCGCCAAAACTGGTGTTGGTGAAACAACAAAAAAAATTGTATCATATTCAAGTACGAATTTCACACTTTGGGATGTTCCTGGTCGAAATGATGAAATAAACTATATGAATATGGAATATATTTCATTTTTCAAAGGTCTTTCCAAACGTTTGCTTCTAATTGAAGCAACAGTGAAAGAAAATTCAAGTATGATGAAACTTTTAGATGCAATTGGATTACATTATGCGATTGTTTTCAATAAATTCGACAAAGTTGACGATGACGAACAACAAGCAATTCAACAACAGATTAAACAGGAAATTAGAACACTTGGTTTGAAAGGAGTTGATCAAGTTTTTTTTGTTAGTGGAAAGTTTCCAAAGAAATTTTCTGATTGGCAAGCAATGCTCAATTATATGCAAAATCTTAGTTGTTAAATGTATTATTTAATCCATTTATTGATACTATTAAATAGCTAGTTTTGAAAATAAACAGGAGATAGCTTGCTGATGAAAGACACAGATTTTGTGTTGTATTTATTGGTTCTATAGTAAAATACATCAATATTGAGATATACTAATCGATCAGAAATTAGAAATTCAAGGAAACCTATTGGGATTCAGTTTTTGAAGCACTCACATCGAGATTGTATGTGACAGTTATTGTAACCTTGTCAGCAGAGTAGTGTGTGACAGTGTTTGAGCCTCTCTCCCACACTTGCAAATAGCAGTGCAAAACTTGAATTCAACTGAGAATTCAAGTTTCAAGTTTTATATTTCAACTTTCAACTATCAAGTTTAAATGTTTCCATTGCATCTACATCCACAGAGATGTAGTGTGATGCCTTTCTTGGCACCCCCATTCGAAGAGATACGGTGTGAGTCCCTTCGTGGCATTCACAATGAGAGAGTTGTTGTGTGAATCCTTTCGCAGCACCCACATCGAGAGACATGTGGGCTGCGTCTTTTTTTGGGGTTGAAACTTGAAATTTCAATTGAATTCAAATTTCAAGTTTAACATATATGGTGAAGTGTAATATAGGTATGGGTCTGGTTGTTCGTTTCATGTACGTTCTCACCCACAGTCACACTGTTTTCAATTGAGATTTATATCTATAGGGAGAAATGCATCATGTTTTAAAACACCTTGTCTGCTAATAGGCTTGATTGATACTTTCAATAAAGAAATTATTCTCATATTCTTGGTGAGAATATTCTTTGATTTTGGAGAAATTAAAAATCAATTCAATAACCTATAGAAAAGTGATCAAATCTGTTTTTATATGTTTTTCTTCTATCAAAAAAAAACATTTTGTAACTCTTTTTTGTCTTTTGCTATAATATAATATTTATACTGAACTGATTATCGTTTAAGCAAAGATTTCTGATCAATAAAACAATGTTTATCTATGTAATGTTCAATTTTAAGAGTGGTAAGTATATTTGAATGAATATCAATATACAAATGTATTCGTTCAAAATTATTTGATTGCCCAATTGGTTTAAAAATGTTATTTAGCTGAGCAACTAACGAGGAAAAAATTTGAAAATTATTGAACTAAAATCGGTTTCGAAATTTAATCAATTGAAACTAACTTAATCTTTCCAGTTTTACGTGTTTATTGAAATAATTATAATTTTATATTTAAAGTGCATTTAACTAAAAAAATGCTTGTTGACAGCATATAAAAATTCATCATAACCTTTTTCTCCTACACGGTATGGGTGTGGGTGTCGGTGTGGCTGTGAGTGGGTGTGAGTGTGGGTGAACCGAAGAAACCCACGCCCACGCCCACACCCACACCCATCCACACCCCACACCCACACCCACACTTAATTTGCGTTATTGTTTTCTTGAGAGGAAGGTATTTGAAAGGTTTGTCATGTTTTGTTCTCTTCCTGATTAATTTATTATGAAATAATTAAATTTTACAATTGTGACGTTTCGTTGTTGAAAACAACTTCGTCAGATGATGTTAAAAAATGAGTGCACATACAATGTGAAACAAAATATATAAATAGATGAAAAAGTGATGACGATGACTTGTCTATTGTGATTTAGTCAAAGTTTGATAATGATACGGAAAGCAAGACGGTAATGTGAATAACTGGACGAATTGTATTTTTAATTTTCCGTATCACCATCAAACTTTGACTAAATAACAATAGACAAGTCATCGTCATCACTTTTTCATCTATTTATATATTTTGTTTCACATTGTATGTGCACTCATTTTTTAACATCATCTGACGAAGTTGTTTTCAACAAAGAAACGTCACAATTGTAAAATTTAATTATTTCATAATAAATTAATCAGAAAGAGATCAAAACATGACAAACCTTAATTTGAGTTAGTTTTAGTTAACAAAAAATAAATCATACGAACTTTAATTATAAAATGTTGAATTTTATATAATGCAGCAAAAGTACGACGACGTATTCTTATTTTCTTTCTTTTTATTTAAATGAAAATAATAAAATATCTCTTTAGTTAATATTTTGATTATTTCGATCATCATCATCATCCGAGCATTGTCTTAATCCACGAATAATAATACTGTATAAATTAGATTCATAGTGATTACCACAATCTAATGTTGGCTGATTGGTAGACCATAACTATGACTTATTGACCAGATAATATAATTCTATAGAAGTCCATATGATTTATTAATTTATGTATATGTTAGCAGCTTAATTGAACATTGTATACAATTACGTTATTTCTGTCAAATAGGTGATGGTTATGGTTTAATAATCATACCAAGATTAGGTAGCAGTATTCACTATGGATCTAATTTGCATGGTCCAACTTTCATAGGTCCGGCTCGGCCCATTCTGAGCTGTTTCATTTGGATACAATTTTGTTTCTAATTTAAACACTATACAAAAAGAATTCGAGTAGACTGAATCTAATATTGGAACTAAATTGATACATCTGCAAAATGCTTACAAAATTGTGATAGTTATTTGCATTATGCTAATCTTAACTTATACTAATGCCAAAGCATAAAGTAAAAGCATTAGATCACTTTTTTTTAATCCTAATACAAGAATATTACAATTAGTATCATTTAATGCAATGCTAATGCTAAGCAGACGCCTCTAATTTATAGTTCAATAAAATAAAGTTAAGTGTCAAAACGTAACAATTTTAAGGCCTTCTTAATTTTACTTATGTGATATTCTTAAATGCAAAAGATCTGATCTCTACATAATAATGCGAGAAAAAAAATTCGAACTTTTCCACTCAAAAGAGCAAGTAACCAGCGATTGGATTAACTAATTTTATCGTTATTGTCTATCAAACAAAACAAAGATATTGATTGGTTATGTGATGAATTGTGACGGTAACTGTCAATGGCTTTCGACAGGATGGTGTCTTGTGTCATCTGTACACTCACAACTGTGTCTTTTCTTTATTAAATGCAACTTATATGGATGTGATCATACAGAAGAGTGCAAAGAGAGAAGGTCAATCCTCGGTGAGTAGGTCACACAAGTGAAGCATAACGGTCAATAACCGCTACAGATTGGAGAGAGACTTTTCTTTTCTCGATTTGCGAATGGCTAGAAAATATTCGCGATAATACGACTAAAGCAAAACTATCAAAAGACATTATTGTGACCGATGTCGTGCATCCATTCATGTGTATACACATCACTTCTTATTTTTCTCTTCCTCTTGCATGTATGAGATCATTCTTTGAATTAAATATGAGCTAGTAGGCTGCTCCATTACAATTATTCTCTTCTCAGCATACCAACAATAATTTCAATTGTCATTTAAATATGTTCATCTTCTTTATTAATATATCTATTTAAGGTTATTTTTTTAATTGATCCAAACGTATGTATGTGAATTTTTTTATAGATAATATTATTGCTTAACTATCTCTCTATTACAACGACAATGAATATTGATTCCAGCTTATCACCAACAAATAAAGATTCAACACTTATGAATACATCTTCAAATTTGAATATGATGCAAATAGCGATATCTCATCATGAACAATATCAATCAACTAATGATGATCTTTTTCCAACATCAAATGATGCTTCATCATCAGTTAATAATATGATATCATCATTAACATTTTCTAAATCACTTACAAATTCAATGCTTGATTATAAATATCCATGGATGAGACCAGGTATTGATAAGTTGATTGAGAAAAATGATGTATTAAAAATAAATAAATGTAACATATAGAAATGATTAAGATTTGTACTATTATTTTGTTTATTTATGATTACTATGAAGTCGTTTATTCTTTTTTCTTTACAGAATTTAAGTATAAAAATAAACGTAGTCGAACAGCTTATACAAGTCATCAACTACTTGAATTAGAAAAAGAATTTCATTATAACAAGTGAGAAAACAATTTTTTTATATTTATTTATCAATAGTAGTAGATATGTGCCACGTTGGCGACGAATTGAAATTTCTTATAGGCTTGCATTAACTGAACGACAAATTAAAGTAATAAAATCTTTTTTTTTTCTGTTAATCTATTCATTTTCTTTGTTTAGATTTGGTTTCAAAGTCGGTAAGAATAAATTGCGAGTTTTCTTTTATTTATTTATGTTTGTTTTTTCTTTTACATTAGTCGATGTAAATGGCAAAATGATATGATTGAATCACTTAATGATCCACATGTTGAACTTGAAGCAAATGCAACAAATCGTAGTCGAAAACATCATTCATATGCTGCATGAACTAATGATATATCATGATCATCGATATCAAATGTTAAAAAGAAAATAATCATCTATATAACACCAATAAAAATAATAAATAAATATTTAACTGTATATGTAAAGACTTTTGAATACTAGTCGATCGCAATAGTATGCATGCTCTTCGTTCCATTCTTAGAAGATTAAAAAATGAATTGCCAAATATTGTTTTATTAAAGCCTTCGCCATCTTAACTTCTGGATGCTTCGGTTAATACTAAACGACAGAAATAAGATTTTAACAAAAAAGCGTTGTGATAAAATCTTTTCATCGATATATTTGAAATAATGAAATGAATTACTAGTTCTTACCTTAGTGCAAAAATACGGTCCTCATTTCACTGTAAACAGTCATTTAAGATAAAGCTACGACGAAAAATAAAGATAACCGTAATTTCCATTCTGGGTACACAAGATTTTATTTTATAGTAATAAAAACCTGTTAGTTTTTTCATCCGTTCCATATAGCAATCGAAAATATTGTAATATGTTTACGGAAGAGAAATCTTGAAGATAATTTTACATATCAATGTTCATTGGCATAGCCAAGTGTTTGCTTAATTATTTCAATGAATAAGAAGAGCAAAAACTTTATTATTATTATTAATACCCAATTACAAGTCTGCGAAGCTTTGAGCTGATTACTAAATCTTCGCGATTATCTTTTTAAGCAGCAGTCAAATGAGTACTCTGTCAAATCGTTTTGAAAGTCAATACTTGATAAAAGGAGTAAGATAATATAGATTGGCACTGCTGCCATTAGTTTGAAAATTTCGTCTCAGAAAATGATAATAAACGTTGCTTTGTCTTTACACATATTTCTAACGCCTTACTTGATCTTGAGTATAATTCCATCGACGACCTACGCTCAGCAATCGTTTTAGATAACATTTAATATGATGTCTCACAAAAAATTTTAACCTGTAACAGTAAACAACTGTTCGGTCCGATAGAGACCACTTTTTCTTTACCGACCGGTCTAGGTTTGTTTTGAAGTTCTGCATTTTTTTCTCAAAAACACGATCATGAAGGTGTTCTTTTTCAGAAATCAAATATTTTTTATTTAAATATCTTTGATAAAAGAATCAAACATAATTTCTGTGGGTCTATTCCAAATCACTGTAACTCAGAGTTTAATGTGCATTTCAACAGACATCCAAATTACAAACAGAATTGTCACAATGTGAACTTCTGACAGGTGATTTCGATTGCCAATTTTTGATTAATAGAACAACCGAATTTTCATGAATGAAGATTACCGATTGTTTTGCGTTGCAGCCGAGCCCTCGACCCGTTTAAAATGGCACTTCAAAGATGATGTAAAAAATTTCATATCGATACAAAATTTTTGAACTTGAAAGAAAACTAGGATGTGAGCCAGAGATGGACAAAGTCGCACCGCGCCTCCCCGCGCTTCCCCGCGCCGTTGCTCACGCCTACGCTACACTAGTCTAAGCTTCGATGAGCGCATGCTTAGAGCATCCGGGTATTCGGTGGAGTTTGAGAAACTGATTGGTAGAGCAAAGAGAAAGAGAGATGTGCGTAGCGCCTAGGCGCGAGCAGTGGCGCGGGGAGGCGCGGTGCGATTTTGTCCATCTCTGGTGTGAGCGACTGTGAACCAACAGAAAAGAACACTCACGCCCTATCCTAAATTCTAAATTTTGATTTAATTTCAAATAAAAAGCAAACTATTCAAGGTAATTACTTATGATTTAAAAAAGTATTGTTTTGCACTTTACTGGAAAAAGCACGACACTTTAATGGTACATCGTATAGTAGAAAAATACTTTAGCTATTTGTTACGCTATTATTTAAGAGTTGTTTGTGTTCCTCTTGGTCATTTATTATAGTAGTAGATGGAGCTCAAAAGAAATTTTCTTTCGGTCTTATTAAATTTACTCTTGAAATTTCTCTTTTTCTCTTTAGATTTTCAATTTTATTCTTGTCAACATAATTTCTTTATTTATTTTTTGTGTTATATATAGATCTCATTCCATTCATATTTATTAATTAATGTATTAAAATGTTATGTGAATAGTATTAATTTGATTGAATTCCCCTTCATAACAAAAGACACAAGATCTTCTATTATGATACGCATTTTTCAATGGACTTCAGTCAAAAAATATTCCAGGATTTTCCCAGATGATTCAGGTTTTTTATGAATATCAACAGTTTCACTAAGATAACCCAGGAAAAATTAGGAAGGTCTTCAATTACGTCCAACACATCATACACTCTGCAGGGGTCTTCTAATATGAGACGATTTTTTATTCTAAGGTGAGAGAGTACTTTCTCCTCCTATTTTACTTCTAGAATGACTTTTTGATATAACAAACAAAACTTTGATAAATCACTCGGATCATTAATAGTTGATGTCGAAAATAGAGAACATAACAACAATTTAAAGGATCTGCAGTTCTATTAAGTTGATGACAAAGAAAATAAATGTTTGAATCGAATAAAAAAGAAAATGATTATTGTTGATGGTCTAGATGGAATGATATGCGGGTGTGGGTGTGTGTGAGGGTGTCGGTGTGTGTGGGTGGGTGTGGATGTGCGCATGAAGGAAGAGAGTGCGCACATGCACACACAAACCCATACCCACACTCCATACCCACACTCCATACCCACACTCCACACCCACAACCACCCACACCCTCCTTTTTTTCTGTCACACTCACACTCATGTTTTATTTTCTTTATGATTCTGCAAATTTGGTTATTGCATAATCTTTATGAAATACCTCGGAAGTAGCGCAATAAGTCATTGTTTAATATCTTTTCACAAGATTTCAATGTATATATATATATATAAGAGAAAATTTTTAAATTTGTTTTTATTTTATGCGTGCAATTACAATTCATCCTTCGACGTTCTTGTAGACGTGAAATCACAACCGTGATATTTAATTAGAAAATATTACATTATATTTGTGCATTCGACCAATTACGGCTTACATATGTCTTCTAGAAATAAATTTTCTCTTGAAGAAATACCCATCGAACTGATTTATCGAATTTTTGATCATCTCGATGCAGAAATCGTTGTGTTTTCGATACGGTATGTGAACAAACGTCTGTATTCGATTTCTAATACTTATAATCGGTATGAATTAGACTTCCGTTACATGTCAAAATCTAATCTACCGATCTTAGCAAATATTATTGATCCGAAAAATATTATTTCAGTTACGATTGCGGATGAATTTCAGACAAGTGATCAAATCGGATTATTTCTTTCTCTGTTTCCTATTGACCAGTTTACTCGATTATGCTCATTAAATCTCATCAATGTAGGAACAGAAGAATTTGAAAAATTTCAGAAACATATAATGAAATATCCTCTTAGAACATTATTGATTTCGCCTGGTGACTATACCAAATATCATGATAGTAAGCATTTGGACTTGGCTTGTCTGACATCTGTTTTATCACATAATGATCTTCTTAAATTTGAATTCGATGGATGGTTGGATATTAAAAATAAATTTGAATGGCCTATTCAATGTAGAATAGAACATGTGACAATCTCTTCATGTGACCTCAACACGGTTTACTCTATTTTTAATCATTTACTGTATCTACGAACGCTTGTTATAGAAAGACTTCATACTAAAAGAGGATACTATACGATGGATACTACTACAGAATCTGTTATCCAACGGTCAAGTAATTTAACATCACTCTTGATAAACGTCTGTAGTGATTTAAAAATGAACGAAATTGAATTACTCCTATCATTTTCACCTAAGCTAAAGCATCTTCGATTATTAAATGACCGTGACTACTCAGTTGATCATCAATATTTTGACGGCTCTCGTTGGGAAGAATTGATTCGATCGAAATTACTTTTATTAAAAAAATTTGAATTTTGGTTTAGCAATTCTCGAGATTTCGATTCAAGTCATGTTACTGTAGAAACATTGATTGCACCGTTCCAAACTTTGTTTTGGCTCGAAAATAAAAATTGGTTAATCAAATGTGACTATGAGACGAACAAATATTGTCAAACATTTTATATATACTCAATACCAGTCTTTGGAGATTGTTTCCGATATCCAGACTTTCAAAATGCGATTGTGCGTTCGGCGTTGAACATTACTGAAAACATTACAACACTTATTATCAATGTGCATAAACTATCTTTAGATTTAGATAATATGACAGCTAATGAAATTTCAGAAAAGGTAAGCATTATTTTACATTCTGAAATCAAAATTATTAGTATGTTTCATTATTCGCTCATTTTAAGGAATTTTTGATGTTCTTGAATACGCTATTTTCTACCCTTAAACTATCTTCAGGATAATCATTTTCTAAATGATTGCATTCTTCTTTCAAAAAGTTCATAATATAGTAGCACTGGTATTGAGCTATTGAATTCTGATTTGAACTAACTGCAAATCATGATAAATCATCACAAAGAAGATTTTAGCGCAATACAATCATGTAACCTCTTTTATTAGTACTGGCATTCTAGTTTAGGCGTGGCAAACAACACATGGCGATTCCATCGAAACTTATCATTGTTCGATATGAGTAGCAGAGATGTCCACACGACAGGGTAACCATACCCTGCCCTGCACCCTGCCCTGTCCTGAGCATGACAGGGTGAGTCATCATACCCTGCAAATTTGAACTTCAAACTTTGACATTTCCATCTGGAGAAAAAAGAGGTTTTTGAGCCGTTCAAATTCAAAAATCGAAAATATATTGCAGAGAACGACACCAGATGTATTCATGTCTTCATCTATAGATGTACATTCGAATGAATTTGATAGAAATAAGAAATAAATAAAATGATCCTCGAAAATTTGTGGTTATACTTCTTATCCTTGTGATTTCCTATATTAAAATAAAAAATTAAATGACACATTTCGCGGGATTTGATTTGATCATGAAATTTGCATGTTGTCTAGTGCTGATCTTAGTGTTGGTGTATCGAACAAACAAATATTTCCCTGATTATTTTAATGAATCATCACGATCTCCTTAAAATTCTTAAACTTCTCAACAAACAATTTATTTCTTTTCAAACAAAGATGAAAAATTTTCTCGTCTTGAAAATAATAATTCAACAAAAGTATCGGCGCCTTGACAGTGTACTTCTGTATAAGTAACCGTTAAAAATAAAAATGGATTTGAACCCACATCCCTATCATCATCCCTTACTTATCTTATCCTTTGGTGATATTGATATATTTTTTCAGTTGAACTGGAGTTGGTCTTACTGTAAAATATCTTTAGACAAAACAATGCTTTTCGATACAATTCACGAATCTGATTGCCTTTGAAATCGATTGAGAAACAGAATCGAGACAGTATATCAATTTTGTAGGATAATCTTTCTTTCTCTCTCCTCTTTTCTGGAGCAAGGCATAGGACTCGCTCTTTCTCCTATGCTTCTTTTTATCAACAGGGTAGAGCAGGGCAGGGCAGAGTGAGGATGTGGGTGGTGTGGACAGGACAGGGTATGGCAGGGTATGTGACGCACAGGACAGGACAAGGCAGGGTGCGAAAAATCACCCTGTTGACACCTCTGATGAGTAGACTAATAGTGACCCGATTTGGATCAAAAACTGAAATGTATTAACTTTTTGACGATTACTACAGTTCAACAGTACTTCACATGTAGGCGAAATATGAGCTTAAAACATTCTCACCCAGTGAGGCTCGAAAACTTTTTAAATTACTAGAAAATATTTTGTTTCTTTATGTACAAGAAGGATGATCTGTCTGAAACACATACTTGTAAACGATTGTTTTATGATGATGAAATAACCGAGATACGAAAGTTTGAGAGAACTGTTTCGTTTTCAGCCCAACATTCTCTGAAAGATATATAAAAACGGTGTGGTTTCTTTTTGTTTGCATTCATTTTAGTATTCACGTTAATTTCTTTGGTTTGAGCATAAAGTTTATTCAGACAACTTAAGTGTTTTGAGGCAGAAAAGGAATCTTTATGATATCTTTTTTCACCTTTCTATTTAATAGAGTTTATATTTCATATTTCAATACACCACAATCATATAACCTTCTTTCATTTAAGTCTCTTTCAACGTCGATTCTTCTGTTTTTCAATGTAACAGAACTTGAGATCATGATTGATAAAATATGGTCAACCGACTCAATTGAACATATTTCAAATATTGTTAATCTATCTGGGATTCACACCTTAAATTTATATCTGAAGAGTACCTGTGAGATTGTTAGTTTCGATGCCGCATTGCAAGTCCTATTCAAACGAGCATCCAATCTTCGTTCACTTATAATATGTAACTACGGTTGGAGGAACGAGAATCTAATTCTTAGCAGTATCTGTTTGAAATTACCTCATCATGTCAAACGTCTTGATACTAGAATTAAAAATACAGACAATGCCAAAATGATACTAGAAAAAGCTGATCATTTATCAAGTGTCAAATTTGAAGTATATAAAATACATGAATTCAAGAAGCATATCACTGAATGGCTTACAGAAAAAGGTAGAAACGCTGCATGTCAGATTGAATTAAGCCTATGTGGGAGCTGCGGATCTCGTTATGGTAGGTACACAAAGTCATATCCGATACACTGGTGGCTAGGCAAGAGGATGAATGAACAATCGAATACGTCAGAAAACAATAAACGTGTAAAGCGAAGCACCTCAAACTGCTAGTTATGATTCGACGATTATCAGCATATTCATAATTATAGTTATTTTTTATATAATAAAGATAAATCTAGAAAATATTTGCGCACATACATTTGCATACCAACTAATTATTTTTGTACTAACCATCTTAAAGAATAGTCTTTTGATAATCTATGTAAGATTAAGTATCAATTTTAATTTTTTCTTTCAGTCAAATCTTTTATGGAATTTATGAATATTTTCCAGAGTTGAGCAAATCAAAGATTCTTCAAGTCAGACTTAACTTCACTTGACCGGAATTCGAGCTATTTTTCATTCGACTTGCCCCAAGGATATAGGTGCGATTGTAATTGTCGATTCTCTCTTCTCTCCATCCGACATTCACACCCTTGTCTTCGAATCTCATTTGACTCAGTAATATAAACATAAAAATCATTATATAATTGAATATAAAGTAATCATAGTATCATGATACGCAAAACTATAATCATATTTTCTCGATCTTGAGCTCGACTTTCATCAATTATTAATGATCGATAAACATTAGTTGTTGCAAATTGAACAGATGCAATAGTATTTGTTGTCATTTGGAATAAATACATTCGTGTTATTTGTTTATCGAGATGTCGAACGAATTCTATATTTTGTAAATTTCGAATTTGTTTGCATGTTAAAAATCAAGAGATACCGACTAAAACAATTGATGAAATTCTTTCTAAAATAGGAAAATAAACGAATGCAGTACAAAATAAAAATGTATTTGATTTTGATGTATAGATATATATATAGAATCCTTTTGATCGAAATGGAGCATTTTCATCAAAAATAGCTCCTGTCATATCAATAAGACGCCGAGATAAATATAATGCTATAACAATAAGTATTTGAGCAAATGTTTTTTGAGGTGTATGATCGTAGACGTACAGAATGTGTTGATTTAGCATAATGACAAAATAGTACAAAAAAAATTGATAACAAATATAGATATTATTGTAAATCCTGCATAGTTCGATTGAAATTTACAAAATAGAGTATTTAATGCAACTACATTTATTTCGAAAATATGTGTCAATATTGTTGGAAAATAACAGAGACTGAAAGAAATAAGAATGATAGAATAGCATTAGTTATGATATACTGTGAACATGGATTTTCATTTAATGGACGTCGTTTGAATATTAATAGGATCATAAATGAACAAAATATTCCATATTACAGTCACTGATAATCTTCCATAAATCAATATTTGTTGAGACACTTTCAACAAATTTTGTTGAGAATGACGTTGGGTGTGGGTGGGTGGGGGTGTGGGGGGGGTGGGGGTGGGTGTGGGTGTGAGTGTGGGTATGGGTGTGGGTGTGAGTGGATGTGGGTGGGTGTGGGCGTGTGGCTGTGTGAGTGTGGGTGTTGGTGTGGATATGGTAAACATAAAGAGTTACCACATCCACACCCGCACCCCACACCCACACCCACACCACACACCCCACCCACACCCACCCCCACGCACACACCCACCCACACCCACACCCACACCCACTATGGATCACCACCTACAATTGAGGTAAACCTCAACAATTTTCTATGGATCGATGCGCTGAAAAAGCCTCTTTCCAACGGTGAAAATCGCAGCTCTCTATCTTGTTTCTATCGAAAGATATTCAAAAAATACCCACCCGCCTTTTATTTTGAAATGGGCAATAGTTATGCGTCATGTTATGATTCTTAACTCTTATAAAACCTCAAATACATAGATCGTTTTATCTGGACAGTTACTGTAGGTCACTTAAGCTAGAAGATTCTTGTCGTCTTTATCTTATGAACAGATGGGTACAATCTGTGCATAACTCGTTGAAACTAAAATGAAAGTTTATTTAACTCATCAAATCGTTTTGATTTCGTGCAGTTCATATAAGTCAAGCGTTAGAAATCTAGAAAGGATAGAGTTCCACAAAAACCAGTCTTGATTGTGAGTTTCTACAATGTAGAAGCTTGCTTTACCAGCAAGCAATGACTTAGTTTGAACTGTACTCGAATCAATGATTTAATTACACAATATGACGAAATTTTTTCACGTTGATAGTGAAGTACATATATATCAAGATTAAAAGGACATGAAATCGAGTAATCACTAATCAGAGCTTAGCGAATAGCCAGATGATGTCTTATACCATGCAATGTCTTTTCATCAGTAACAATTCGTCTGACATGGTAACACATGATTTATTAAATCTAATTCCAACTCTCATATTAGAATTTTCATATCTGGTACTGTACTAAACAAGGCATAATACAAAAAGTCACATAACATTTTCAAAATCTGAAAAATCAAAAAATAAATAAATAAACTCTTCATTGTAACCAATATAGCTTGATTACAGCACTCAATTAGTCTAAAGATTGTTCTGAGTCACATTTTAGTTAATTTGAAACTAAGATTTAAGAGGATGCTAAATTTTATTTGAAACATTAGACAAAATAACTAAGATCCACGTACAATATTTTTGGTATCGGAAGAGACAAACGAGTGAGGAATTCTACTTTTCTAACTTTTGAAAAAAACTACTTCATGATTAAAGATACATTTTATAGAAAAGAAAATATGAAACTAATAATGAATAGATCTCTATGATAAAACTATGATAGTCGAATTGCAAATTTTGCTAAATTCTTTATCACTTATATAAACTGTATAATTGTTGACGTTGCCTATGTAAAACTGAAGAGAAAATATTGTACAACACGATGTACTTCGTTTTTTATGATGAAATGAAACTGCTAAATGACAGTAAAGAAAATAATATGATAAAACAAATGCTTTAGAATAACAGTTCAAGACAACATATTCAAAATAATTACTTAAATGGTTGATAAACAAAGAAAAAAAAGTGCCAAGAAAATTTTTATGAACAAAAAACATGTTTCCATGGATAGAAAATGTTGATTCTAGAAAATTCTATTGTGTTAATCGAAGAATTTATGTCTATCAATCAGAGATGGGCAAGTCAGCTATTTTTTCACTCAAGTCAAGTCAAGTCATTTGTCAAAGAGAGTCAAGTCAAGTCAAGTCAAGTCATTGCTCAAAAAAAAATATCTTTAAGTCAAGTCAAGTCAAGTCATCAATTTGAGATACGCCATTGCAAGTCAAGTCAAGTCAAGTCTGTGTTCTAACCAAGTCAAGTCAAGTCAAGTCTCAAGTCATTGACTTGAATTTTTTTTTAAATTTCATAATTTAGTTATGTATTAATTTATTGAAAAAAACATTAAATCAATTCAGTTGTAATACAAGTTGTAATTGATCTAACCAGTTTAACACAATAGATCACGTATGATGCACACTCAGCCGTATAATTGCTTATATACTTGCGAGTGTCGATGTCAGATAGTTTCTTTTGTGAGATCAAACAGACTAGACGAATAAACAATGAATTGAGAATTCATTGTTTATTCGTCTAGTCTGTTTAGGACTTTATTTTATACGCACAGGTCAAATATAACCTGACGAGAATCTAATATGCATTGAAGTTGCAAAGAATATCTGACTTGACTTGTATTTTTTTGTCAAGTCACAAGTCAAGTCAAGTCAAAAAATGAAAAATCAAAGTCAAGTCACGTCAAAAAATGAAAAATCAAAGTCAAGTCACGTCAAGTCGCAAGTCATTAATAAAACCTTTCAAGTCAAGTCAAAGTCAAGTCGCAAGTCATTAAAAAATTTTTCAAGTCAAGCAAGTCAAAAATGACTTGACTTGACTTTGACTTAAGTCATTTTTGACTTGACTTGCCCATCTCTGCTATCAATAGCCAACATATACTCAAAATCAATTGTTGAATGCTGTCATAATACTACAAATCTCATAAATAGGCATAATATATTATCATTGACATCATTCAAAATAGGATACGAATTGATCTTAGTAATTTTTATTTCATAGAGAGTAAACTAAAATTTGTGAAACAAATTTTTATAGTGTTTTTACGAAAATTTTTTATCATGACGACAAAAAGATCTTTCGTGTTCTAAATTAATTTTGCGACTTCTATAACAGCTTCCAAGAACAAGTATATTCAATTCATTAGAATATAGAAAAATAAGTTAAGAAAACAATTAAGAATAGAGGTTTATATTCTTTCTTTTACTTCTATATACAACGTCATTTAGAATTTCACAGGCTTCAAAATGTCAAATATCCCGGAATTATATAGATTGAAATGAGGTATTTATAGAATTAGACAGATTTATTTAATGACTTATTTCTGAGACTTATAAAATTAAAAATATTAACTCTTTTATTTGAAAATTTTTCAGTTTAGCCTCGAAAAATGTAGAACTGCTTGCCAACTTGCAAGAATTATATCAATCTATTAGAAGTTTTGGTTTCGGTTTTTTTTTCTCTCAATATGCAAAAGAAATAAGTGACTTTTATTCCTTTATTATTTTGTTCTGTTGTTAATATTGATTTAAAATTTTCCTGTCATACTCCGCTTACATTTGATAGAAAAAGTTGCTAAACAAATTCTTTTTTTTTTGATAAACTATTTCTCTCAATACAAAACCAATAAAATCTGTAGATGCATAATACAGTTGTATAAAACTGATCTATCACATTGAATCATGATAGTCAAATTTCTATAACAGGTGAACTTAGAAGATGTCATGAGCTCAATAGATACCCATATCAAAAACTTAGAAATAAAATCAGATTAAAAATCAAAATTTCATAGATGATTTCGATTATAATCGATTAAAATTTGATGAGAAAAGTCGATTTTAATTGATTTTTGTTCGTAATCCATAAAAAAAATTTCATCGGTTTGCATGAATCAAAATCGATTTTTCTCATCAAATTTTAATCGATTATAATCGAAATCATCTATGAAATTTTGATTGAAAATCGATTAAAAGGTGTATGATTTTAATCTGATTTTACCCATCATTTTTTTACATGGGTAGTAACGAATAATAACAGTAATTCTGTGGAACTGTTAATATAGATTAGTGACTAAAGCCAAAAAAACACTTATTTGAATGTATATTAACTTCTTTATAGTTGCCAAGTGAATGAATTATTAGATGTTTCTCTGGTAACATCACTTTCTTTTTATTTTCCTGTTTCCGTTTGTGTTGTTAAGGAGCATTCATCCAAGCCAGCTGTTAGTCAAATAGAATAAAAGCTATTGTTTGGATAGGTCAAATTATACTTCAATTTGAGTAAAACAATTTTTATGCTTTAACGTAGCTTTATTGAAACTGTAGGTTAAAGTAATGATGATGACTGTATTTTAACTTATAACACATATTTGTAATGGTAGGAACTCAAATAAGTTTCTATTATTCAATAGTAATTTTTTGCAGATAGAGAAAAAGAAGTGCATTAAATAATTAATTGAGGTAATCTGTCTTGCAATATTTTTTTTTCTTTTGCGCACTAGTTTTCATCATCTTTGAATTGAAGCATATATAAAGTCTCACATAGTTATTATTGGATATGGGAAAAGGCATACTTTAATTAATTAGAAAATTAAAAAGCAAAATATTCTCTCATAGATAAAAACTCCGAAATCTTTTGTTTTTAACTCAAATTTTATTTCAGTTTCGATTGTTTCATCTAAATCTTTACACGCTTGTTTCAATCTCGGTTTCTGTTATATGTTTCATTCAAATGAAGAATTCTTATTGGTCTAATTTCTGTTGACTTATATATAATTGGAAAAAGAATGAAACAAAAAACTTTCTCTCGTTGCCACAGAATGTATCTAGCTAAAGCTCGGCATATTATCTTCATTTTAAAATATGGTATTAAAAGTTCCTAACGTTCACAGTGCATTATTTCACAATCTTATTGTTTAGTTTCTATTCTAAAGAAAACAAAAGTGATGAAACGAAAAAAATACTAGAGTTAGCTGAGCTTCTTGAGACCATCGTCGGTTTCACCACTATGGAGAAGCC